ACCGGATAGTGCCGGTTTATCATGTGTTTTTCTTCGAAAAAATAATATACAATTAATTGTTGCATTTGTTATAAAATAAAATAATCAGAGAATAGGAAGTACCACTAAATATTGGGAGTGGAATTATATTTGCTCTTTGTGGTGTTTACACTAATATAGTTTCTCTTCAGAATAGACTTCACTCTCTCTTTTCTTTTCTTGCTCTCACTCTCTTTTATTCTCATTCGTGTGTGTTTACAAGCAGATATAATGCCTATTTATAGGCAAAGCAAATGGCTCTTAAGGGAGACATAATGATTTCTTTCCAACATTATAATTTTATCTTTTGACTAATACCCCCTCGCTTTATTTATGTGGACTTCACTTTTTACTTTATAACACTCCCCCTTGAAGGCCACATGTCCCTAGATTGGTTGCCTCATTAAAACCTTGCTTGGAAAAACCCAATGGGAAAAAACCTAAGCGAAGGAAAAAGAGTACAACAACATTTGGGACATTAGGGTAATGTGAAGTGCGCTCATGTTGCCTCGTTAAAACCTTAGTAGGAAAAACCCAATGGGAAAAACCCTAGTCGAAGGAAAAAGAGTACAACGCGCTTATGTCATGTGTTAGAGGACTCTTGAATGCTCCCCCTGATTTTGCATGCTCCAATTTGATTGCTTGCAGAGTTGTCGCAATCCGATGCCATGCACTAGCTTCTGGAATGTGCACTTGGGTAAAGACTTGGTGAAGAGATCTGCCAAGTTATCACTTGAACGGATTTGTCTGACTTTGATTACTTGACTCTTCTAAAGCTCATGCGTGTAGAAAAACTTGGGTTATATGTGCTTGGTCCGGTCACCCTTGATGTATCCTCCTGTGATTTGAGCAATACAAGCTGCATTGTCCTCATTCAGGATGGTTGGAGTTTCTGTTGCTGAGGGCAAGGCACATGTGTTTCGGATGTGATGAATCATCGACCTTAACCAAACGCATTCACGACTGGCTTCATGGAGGGCAAGTATTTCTGAATGATTGGAAGATGTGGCTACCAACGTTTGCTTTGTTGAGCGCCATGAGATTGCAGTTCCTCCACATGTAAATACATACCCAGTTTGTGAGCGTCCTTGATGTGGATCAGAGAGATATCCTGCATCAGCATATCCAACAATACTCGGGGCATTGGTCGATTCATTGGAATAGAATAAGCCCATGTCTGTCGTTCCACGAAGATATCGTAGAATATGTTTAACGCCGGTCCAATGTCGGCTTGTTGGAGCAGAGCTGTATCTTGCTAACAAATTTACTGAAAATGCTATGTCAAGTCTGGTACATTGTGCTAAGTACATTAAAGCACCTATTGCACTAAGATATGGTACTTCTGGACCAAGGACCATTTCATCATCCCCTTTTGG